TGGGTGTTTAATTTCGCCGCCAAATTCAGGTATTTTAGTTAACCACAGGATAGTTTCGTTTACTGTTGGTGTAGGGTCTTATCAGAGTTGGAGTTTCTTTGAGGAGAATTTGTTGTCTGTTGATATAGTTGAGAGAGGGCTTAAAGCTCTTGCTGGTGGTTGCTCTAATCTCCGGAAACTCGTAGTGACCAATACTAGTGAATTAGGGTTGTTGAATGTAGCTGAAGAGTGTTCCAGGTTGCAAGAACTCGAATTGCACAAGTGTTCTGATAGTGTTTTGCTTGGCATTGGTGCGTTTGAGAATCTGCAGATCTTGAGATTAGTTGGGAATGTCGATGGTTTGTATAACTCTTTGGTTTCGGATATCGGTTTGATGATTTTGGCTCAAGGGTGCAAGAGACTGGTGAAGCTTGAGCTTGTTGGATGTGAGGGAGGATTTGACGGGATTAAAGAGATAGGCGAATGTTGTCAAATGCTTGAGGAACTCTCTGTTTGTGATCATAAGATGGAGTCGGGTTGGCTTGGAGGTCTTCGATATTGTGAGAATCTCAAGACGCTGAAACTTGTGTCCTGTAAAAAGATTGATAATGATCCAGATGAGTGCTTGAGTTGTTGTTGTTGTCCTGCTCTCGAGCGATTACACTTGGATAAGTGTCAATTAAGAGATAAGAATACCGTAAAGGCTTTGTTTAAGATGTGTGAAGCAGCGAGAGAGATTGTTTTCCAAGATTGTTGGGGATTGGATAATGATATATTCAGCTTGGCAATGGCTTTCGGGTACTAAAAACTTTATCTCCTTCTTTTGTGCTTTTGAGGTTTGATAATGGTTAACTGAACTGCATTGGGGTTTTGTAGCACTATATGAATCTCCAGGAACAATGTGATCTTTAAAGTTGGAGCCTTTAGTCAATTTCATTACTGCTAGTAGTAGTAAACCTATTAGATCTTGTTGATAACTTATCAACCTTTTGCCAATTTCTTTGTTCGTTGGGTTTGCAGGAGAGTGAAGCTTCTGTATCTAGAAGGATGCTCATTGCTAACAACATCAGGTCTAGAATCCGTGATTCTACATTGGCACGAGCTCGAACATCTGAAAGTGGTTTCATGCAAGAACATAAAAGATTCGGAAGTCTCTCCGTCGCTGTCAGCTCTATTCTCAGCCTTAGTAGAATTGCAGTGGAGACCAGACACCAGATCCCATCTCTCTTCAAGCCTTACAGGGACCGGGATTGGGGGAAAAGGCGGAAAGTTTTTCAAGAAAACATGAAAGTTTATCACCTAACACTTAGCAACTCTCTCTTTAATGTTGTTTTTTTTTTCAAAAGTTTCTTAGGTTCTCTTTCTTTGTTTCTTCTCGTTGAACAATGTAGCAATTACTGTAAATTCTACTTTTTATCCAATTCTGTTTGTAATCAGAGATTCATAGCTACGGGATCACTATTTTACCTTACTTTCCCTTCGAACAAAGATTGATAAGAGACTTGACCCCAAAAAAAAAAAAAAGATTGAGTGGTGAGAGAAAAAATGGAGATGCGGGGTATCGATCCCCGTACCTCTCGCATGCTAAGCGAGCGCTCTACCATCTGAGCTACATCCCCTTTCGATACTTTTATTATATAGTAATCAGTAAAGACACCTTCAATCAAATATCATAAAGACACCTTCAATCAAATATCATTGTTATTGGAAATGTTGAAGTATCACAAATATTATAGAAGTATTTTCTACCTTTTACTTATTAGAAATAGATTATGCCTTGCATGTTAAGGAGTTATTTTTAAATTGATTAGGTATACGAAAATAATAGTGATACGAAAAGAGAATAATTTTTTTCTTCCTAAAATCATTTATACTATATGCTAAACATTAATAACATCCTTAAATCCTACAGATTTAAGTAGTGAAATATCTATATATTATACAGTATATATGTGTGTGTTGCCCAATTGAGAAAAGTGTACATGTGAGGTCCGGTTACATACAATATTGCCTAATTAGGCCAGTAAACAATAAAAAAGTGTTACAACTTAAATTAGGTTTTCTTAAGTGGTTTAGGTTCATCCATATATACATTCATATATCTTTCTTTCTTTCTTTTTCGTTTTACACCAAGAATCTCACATGGTCCGGCTTTGTTCCATCCTATGTGATTTTCATTTTTGGTAGAAATAATAATGTGGAGTTTTTATATTATAAAATCAATAATATGGAGTTTTCAAATAATTCTTTCTGTGTTACTATTTGCAATTTGTGCATGCGATATACCAGACATATTAATATATTCTTTTGTCATGAGTATTTGATTAATTAAACATTTGTAATAAAGGGTTGCAAGTTTCCTTTTAAGAAAAAGTTAACCAACTGCAATTTCTCGTCTTCTTTAGTTGTTATTAAGGCCGGTCATAATTCGGAGATCCACATGTTAGCAAGAAGCATTTTACTAGGCTACTAGCATAAGTTAGTTTCTTTTAATTAAAATTGGAAAAAGTCTACACAATAAAACTAGGTTAAGAAAAAAAGTGACACGCACATATTTATAGTAATAATGTTCTTTTCCGCTTTTTTAATATATTAATTTTAAGTTCTTTTCCGTTTCTTAATTAGCTACATGCATAATCACAGAGAAAACAATTTTTGATCTGCAGGGAGTCATAACATATATATTTTGGCAAAGGAAGCACATTATTCGAATTGAATTCGATGTGGTAAAACAAGTTAATATTTTCGTCCAACCAATTGAGTATATACGTTAACAGTTAACACTCATTCAATGATCAATAAGAGTTGAATCCATTTAACTCTCAAAGGATCATTTATCTTTATTACACTCTTATGTGTTTTTTTTTTTCAATAGTATACAAGATGCGTAGAGGAATTTTTGTCTAATCGTCCATCATTATTGTATAGTTTTTCCCTTTTTCCCATCCATTTTGCCAACTCGTTCACATCACACTGTACGGCCATTTTTTTCTTTCTTTTCTCTGTGTTCGAAGAAATGCACCCAAAAAAAGATTACGTTCTCAATTGACTCTAATAGCCACTAAGGAACAACCACGTAACTCGAAAACAGTACTTAGCCAACGAGGTCAACTATCGCTCCATTGATAAACATAGTTAGCTTTCATTCATGACACGTGGTTATTTATAATTGGTTAATAGCTGGCACCTAAGTTTTTTTATTTGTGATTAAACTCGGCATGACGTGGCAGATGTGGACAAGTTGACTATATGCTAAATTGCTAATGACTGAAAGTCTTTGGGATTGCTCGAGAAACAGCCAGACACGTGGTCTTGTCTTATTAGATCTATTTCCTCAAATAGAAATATTAGTCGCTTTCTTACTAACCTAATTTGCAACATTTTCTATAAATAGAATTTTAATTTATTAGACGACCAAATCTTATTGGATCAGTTCTTTGCTCACCCCACGATTTTATTCATTACAATATTATCCTCTAATCCACTATTTGGACAAACAAATTTGTCATTACTGCTGGCTTTGAAATTGGAAGAAGATTGATATTAGAGCTTTTCTATAAGACATAGGCAATATCACTTATATAGAAAAAGGGATGTCTATTACGATAGGTACTTACTTTAACGGGGTAAACTATTTTATAGTAAAATAACATTGAAAGTTAATCCTAAACGTATATTTTTCCCTTTTTTTACTACGTCTAGATAGATAAGAGTTTGTATTTTCGCCGAGTCTGCATTTGCATTTTCGCCGAGTCTGCATTTGCATTCTCATTTGGGACCTCAATATCTGGTTAATTAAATAAAAATATTCCTTCTTTTTATTTGAGGGTATATACTAGGTCACCAATATACCTTTGAATAGGTAAATTATACATAACAAATATATGGCCTCTTTAGTGTAGCTATGTGTATATGTAATGTAACCATATAGCAATAGGTGAATTATAGACACCAATATGGCTTTAATGTAGCTATGTGATACATATACACGTGTATATGTAATTAAACATATTGATACATGTAGTTTGAGTTCAAATATTGATTAAAATGTAGATGCCGTTAATGGATGTAGATTAGTCAAGAGCTCTTTCTTTTTTTTACGTGGATGAGTAGTAATATTGTTGGTAGATTTACTAATAAGTATCACCTAAAATATTACCCAACAAACGAACTATTTCAAGTATATAATTTTTATATAAAAATAATCAGAATATTAAGAACAGAATGTTAACTAAAATGTAGTTTTAGAATCAATAAATGAAATGATTATAAGATCTCTTCCTGGTCGAGAGTTCTTCTACTATATGATTCTATCCTATGCTAAAAAATTTAGACATTTTTCTAACTGTAAAATAACACATTTTTGACAAATAAGGAAACGAAATTAAAGAAAAATAAGAGTAACGGCAGAAACACCATTTGTCAAACATATTCATGCCTTCCTGACACTACTTTTGGGAAGACGATAGTTATATACTTATATTTAAACTAATTAATACTATTATAAGTTGACAAAAAAACTAAATACTACTAATATTATTAATAAATAGAGTATTTGTGTCGAGTCACCAGAATTTTAACATTTAATTACTTGTAATGACATGCGCAGACTTCTTTATTTAAGTTTTAAATTAATACCGAAAACGGTAATTTTAATAACTCGCTGAAATCATATAACATTTCTTGGCCCTTATTCATTCATTGTATAGCTTAACGAACGAAATATATTTGGGTAATTCGCTGTATTTTCATTGTAACGTTAATTAGTAATAACTATTCACCGCGTTAGATTCAAAGAACCAAAATTAAGGCAACTCTATTTCTATTTTTTTTCCAAATATAGTTTTATTAATTTGTTTTTAATTACAATTATTTTTCAAAAAAAAAAATAGCAGAAAAAGGTGTCTTTCTTTTTAAAAAGGGAAAGTGCAAAACAAACTAGCCAAGTTGCGTTACACACTACGTATCTTTTCTCCTTTCACAAAATATATATTTTTAATTTAATACATGAATAAATTTGTATGATGAAAAACGATCATTTTCGTCAAAAATTCCACCTTTCTAGTTCCTTTTTAAGTTCCTCTGCGTCTCCTTAATCTCTCTTCCTAACTTCTCTTTCACCTTTACTCTCTCTATCTCTCTTTCTATATATATATTCCCTGAACTTATCTCTTGAAAACATTCAAGATCAAATCTCTCTCGATCTATTCAAAGAAAAACTATTTAAGAAATATATGTTTTGGATCAAATAAGGGTTTGATCTTGTTCCGGAATCAGGTTTTTGCTTTTCTTTTAGGGTTTAAGGTTTTTTTAAAGAAGATGGAAACTTTCGGTGTGTTTCACAAGGAAGATGATGAGCAGATGGATTTGCCTCCTGGTTTTAGGTTTCATCCAACAGACGAAGAACTCATAACCCACTATCTTCACAAGAAGGTTCTCGACATCAGTTTCGCGGCTAAAGCTATTGGTGAGGTTGATTTGAACAAAGCTGAGCCATGGGAGTTGCCATGTAGGTTCAGACAAAACATAATTATTAACACACATCACATGTCTAAATTCAAACAAGGTTTTGAAATCTAATGAGTTCTGTTTTATGTTTTTGTTAAACAGATAAAGCAAAAATGGGTGAGAAAGAATGGTACTTTTTCTGTGTGAGGGATCGAAAGTATCCAACCGGTCTGAGGACTAACCGAGCAACTCAAGCCGGTTATTGGAAGGCGACAGGGAAGGATAAGGAAATCTTCCGAGGTAAATCGCTTGTGGGTATGAAGAAAACACTTGTTTTCTACAGAGGAAGAGCTCCTAAAGGCCAGAAAACAAATTGGGTGATGCATGAGTATAGGCTAGATGGGAAACTCTCAGCTCACAACTTGCCTAAAACCGCTAAGGTAAGAAAAAAACATAAAATCAAAGCTTTGCTCTGTTACTTGCTCTGTTTTCCAACTCTGTTTTGTTTTGTTTTGTTTTTTCCATTTGTTTGATAGTTTTTGGGGTTTGGTTCCATTTTGCAGAATGAATGGGTGATATGCAGGGTATTTCATAAAACTGCTGGTGGTAAGAAGATCCCGATTTCGACCTTAATCCGAATCGGTTCTTACGGAACCGGGTCCAGTTTACCACCTTTAACCGATTCTTCACCATACAATGACAAAACCAAGACTGAACCAGTTTACGTGCCCTGCTTCTCCAACCACGCTGAAACTAGAGGAACAATACTCAATTGCTTTAGCAACCCTTCCCTTAGCTCGGTCCAACCAGATTTTCTCCAGATGATTCCACTCTACCAACCTCAATCTCTCAACATTTTGGAGAATCTACAGAGTTCCAATCCGGTTCTTTCGCAAGACCAATCAGTTTTACAAGCGATGGTGGAAAACAACAGAAGGCAGAACTTCAAAACATTGAGCATCTCGCAGGAAACCGAAGTTTCGAATACCGATAATTCATCGGTTTTTGAATTTGGGAGGAAACGATTTGATCATCAAGAAGTTCCATCTTCCTCTTCCGGTCCGGTTGATCTTGAACCTTTCTGGAACTACTGAAGATTCAGAACCTGAAAAGTCCATTAATTTAGGTCACAAGTAAGAAATCTTTGCTAAGTTTTATCCTTTTAGCGTGGTGTGCTAAGCTTGTATAGATTATTATCACTACTTCCACTATTAGTGTTTCATATTATTATATTCAACTAAAGTTAATATTGGAGAGGATAAAAATGAAGCATTTTAGTTCGTAATATTTTTTTAAAAATATTTGCAAATTTAGGATTCAATTAATAATATATTGTGTTTGATTTAAAATGAAACACAAACTCACGTACATTTCAACTAATGAAGGATCGGGATTCTTAGCAAAAAAAAAAAATGAAGGATGGGGATAATTTCAGCTATCTAAAATTAATTTATCATAGTTGAAAGTTGAAAGAGACTATCCAATTAAATAGTTTTCCACATCGTCATTCGTCATAACGCTAAAGATTAGTCTCCAACAAACCATATAAGTATTAGGAACCAAGCCAATGCATAACGAACCATATCGTTTTTACACATGTAACTGGCGATAAGACACGACGAGCACATATCTTTCGCAGAAATACATAAAACATCATCACATGCACCAACATATTCATTTGTATGTGTGAATGAAAAAAAAGAAAAAAAAGAAAAACATATTCATTTGTATGTGTGACAGTGTGAGTAGCCTGTTGTAAAAGGATAGTACGTCAAACCTATTTCACACGGAGTTCCGAGGAAAACCGACGGATAGACAACACACCACATTTTGTCCAAAAAAAAAAAAAAAACACAACACACCACATATATTAGATATGTGGTATCGGAATCCATATAAAATAGTTTCACATAAATAAAAGTCTAAATGGCATTTATAGATCCATCCTAAATCGACCATCTCACGGATATATTTCTCATATTAAGCATAATATTTACTAAGATAAAATTATCATTTAAAGAACTTAATCAAATTTCATTTAAAGGAGAGAACTTAATCAAAGTTAAGGGATATAAGTTTTAAAAGTTTTTTGGTAAGTATATTACTAATGACTTTTGAAAAAAAAAAGTACAAAAAAATATTATCAGTAAAATACGAAATAGCTATCTTTTACTGATTACTTTCTCCGTTCCTAAAGAATCCAAGTTTTTTTTTAAAAAATATTTAAATACGAGAAAAATGTCGTTTCTTTCTAGAGGCGATTTTCAGGGCGATTTCTTTCCGCCTTCACACCCTTTCGATTCTCCACGCCGGAGTGATTTTCCGACCATTAATTTCCGCTACGCTGTACGGAATATTGACGGCGGTTTCCTTCTGCCTGGTAGTTTCCATGGCAGTTACAATTCTCCTATGCTTTCGGAGGGTAACCACCCTCACAAACCGCCATGGAAACCTCTCTATAAATCCAATGATCCTCTTTCTTTGATTTCACATTCCAAATTCTCTCCTTTCTCAACTCTTATTGCATCAATCATGAGTGACAGACTTCGAAAATCCGTGCAAGATCTCAGTTTGGGCATCGATGACGAACCGGTGTCTTTGTCTGTTGAGTTCTGTTCTCAGGCGGCTTTGGTGAACCGTTTCTCGCTGGTGGTGACTACAGTCAACCCACGGAAGCAGAATCTTCGTGCCCTGATTGGACAGATGCCAAAGGTGTGGGGTTTCCCTAACTCGTGTGTTGGCCGGATTTTGGATAAAGGGAGGGTTCAATTCAAGTTTCAATCGGAGGAAGCGATGAATCTGGTTCTCCGACGTGGCCCTTGGTCGTTTAACGACTGGATGCTCTCAATCCACCGTTGGTATCCAAATATCTCTGAGGCAGAGATGAAAATCATACCATTTTGGGTCCAAATTCAGGGCATTCCGCTCTTGTACCTTACCAATGCAATGGCTAGGTGTGTTGGAAATAGGCTAGGGAACGTGGCTGAGGTTGACTTTGATGAGAATGCAAATCACCCTGGATTTGTAAGAGTCCAGATTAAGTGGAATATGGATGATCCATTGAGGTTTCAGAGGAATATCCAGTTTGCTGCAGATGAAAACACTGTGATCAAGTTTCGCTTTGAGAGATTAAGGAACTTCTGTTCCAAATGTGGATCGCTGAAGCATGATGTGAAAGAATGCATCCTGTCGTTTGATGATGAGGATCCTGTTGAAGACAGTGATGATGAGGATGACAATGAAGATCAACAAGACGAGAATGGTGATAAGGACATGTCTGACACGGATACCCTTCAGACAGTGGATCCAGTTACTCTCATTCCTGGTCTTCAATCTGCATGCCGTGGTGTTGGAAATGGTAATCAGCCAAACTCTGATGTCTCGTCCATCCCAAGCGCATTTGAAGACACTGAACTCACCGCGGAGAGGCTCCGCTATCTTCATACTAAACTTGCTCGTGGTGTGGGAAATAGTTCTGCGCATGATGGTTTCTTGGAGAATCTGTCTGACAATGCACAACATCAGTTTGTGTTCATGAAAAGGAAGAGGGTTCAGTTTGAAGAAAGGTACCAGAGAGAAGAAGCAGCGGATGAGATGATGGTCCTGAGTCATCTCTGCAAGAAGGAAAGGAGGACTGAGTCTGCTGGTACTTGCTCTTTGCACAATGGAATAGACAGAGGCGCGGGGGGCCCGGTTCCCCCAGAGGATCCAATATGAGGATATTCTCATGGAACTGCCAAGGCATCGGCGCCACTACTACCAAGTCTCGTCTGTTTCAGTTAGTTCGACTACATAAATTTGATATATTGTTTTTAGTCGAAACTCTTAATCCGTGTGATGTATTATGTAAATTATCGTGTGATTTAGGATACTCTAATGTAATAACACAGCCCCCCCTGTGGAAGGAGTGGTGGCTTAGCTCTTATGTGGAAAAACAATGTTTCTTTATCCTTGCTTTCTAAGGATGAAAGACTCATTGATACATTTGTAACTATTAATCATAAGAGCTTCTACTTGTCTTGTGTGTATGGCCACCCAATTCAGAGCGAAAGATATATTCTTTGGGATAAGTTGGAACAACTTTCAGAAAATCGAGATGAAGAATGGATGCTAATCGGGGATTTTAATGAAATACTTTCAAATGAGGAAAAAATTGGTGGACCTTTGAGAGAGGAGTGGACATTCAGAGATTTCAGAAACATGGTTTCTACATGTGATTTGATTGATATGCGATCAAGAGGAGATCGTTTCTCATGGGTGGGTGAAAGATACACACATACAATCAAATGTTGCTTGGATAGAGTGTTTATCAACTCGGCTTGGGCTGCCTCTTACCCGAATGCACAAACAGAATTCCTAGAATTCTCTGGTTCTGATCACAGGCCAATTGTTGTTCACTCCAATGATTCAGGTCAGCAAAGATACAAACCTTTCCGATTTGACAAGCGTCTTATTGATATCCCGGAGTTTAAGAAAGTTGTTAGAGAAGGATGGAATACTAGAAATAATCTCCAGGCCACAGTTATCACAGAACGTATACGTACATGTCGTCAAGCTATGTCAAGACTGAAGCACAGGTCTAATATCAATGCGGAAGTGAGAATCAAAACACTTCAAGGACGTCTTAACAGAGCAATGGAGAGCATCATACGCGGGGAGAGACAACAAATACTGTTTTTGCAGGAATCCTTATCTAGAACTTATAGTGATGAAGAGAGATATTGGAAACAGAAGAGTCGAAATAAATGGATGAATGAAGGCGACCAGAACACAACCTTCTTCCATGCTTGTGCAAAAAATCGTTTTAGTCAAAACAGAATAATCTCCATCAATGATGAACATGGTAGATTGTTTACGGGAGATAAAGAAGTGGGAGATCATGCTCAGGATTTTTTCACCAATATCTACACAACAAATGGGGTTCAAGTTTCTCCTATTGATTTTGCAGATTTTCAAGCAACTTTTACTCCGAATATTAATTCTGATCTTACAAGAGAGTTTAGTGACGGTGAAATCTATGAAGCGATTAGCCTTATTGGAGACGACAAAGCATCGGGACCGGATGGCCTAATAGCTCGGTTCTACAAACAATGCTGGCATATAGTTGGTCAAGATGTTGTAAAGGAGGTCAGGAATTTTTTTGAAACATCGAAGATGACTCCGAGTATCAATTATACGAATCTGTGTCTGATCCCGAAGATAGACAATCCTACAACTTTGTCCGATTATAGACCAATAGCACTTTGTAATGTACTTTACAAAATTATTTCAAAGTGTCTCGTCGGTCGCTTGAAGACGCATCTGGATTCCATTGTTTCAGACTCACATGCTGCATTCATACTGGGGCGAATGATTAATGATAATGTTATGATTGCACATGAGATAATGCATTCATTGAAGGTCAGGAAAAGGGTATCTCAAACATATATGGCGGTGAAAACAGATGTTAGTAAGGCGTATGACCGAGTGGAATGGGATTTTCTTGAAACGACGATACGTCTCTTTGGTTTTTGTGATAAATGGGTTGGATGGATAATGGCCGCGGTCAAGTCGGTTCAGTTTTAAGTCCTGATTAATGGCACTCCGTATGGAAATATTAAACCAACTAGAGGAATAAGACAAGGGGATCCTTTGTCACCATACCTATTCATCTTGTGTGGGGATATTTTAAGTCATCTAATAAAGTCTAAAGCTGCGGATGGTGAGCTAAGGGGAGTCCGGATTGGGAATGGTGCACCGGCAATTACTCACTTGCAATTTGCAGACAATTGTTTATTTTTTTGTCAAGCCAATGCGAAGAACTGTAAAGCTTTGAAAGATGTTTTCGATGTCTATAAATACTATTCTTGACAGAAAATAAATACTCACAAGTCAATGATAACGTTTGGTTCACGCGTGTTTGGCTCTTCTCAACAACGTTTAAAAGTGATTCTTGATATTCCAAACCAAGGTGGAGGAGGAAAGTATCTTGGCCTTCCTGAGCAATTTGGTCGAAAGAAAAAGGAGATGTTTGAATACATTATTGAACGTGTCAAACAGAGGACTACGAATTGGAGTGCAAAGTTTTTATCTCCAGCTGGTAAGGAGATTATGATTAAGGCTGTTGCTCTTGCTATGCCAGTCTATGCAATGTCCTGTTTTAAACTTCCACAAGGAATTACTTCGGAGATTGAGACTCTCCTCATGAACTTTTGGTGGGAAAAAGCATCTAATCGGAGAGGAATTCCTTGGGTCGCCTGGAAAAAACTCAAGTTTTCGAAAAAAGAAGGTGGTCTAGGATTTCGGGA